AGATTATAATTTTGATAAAAACTATAATTAATAAATTATATTAAAGTGGGTAAATTCCATAAAATGTTGTCTGTGCCCGCGATGTAAGTACAATATACCGCATGTCGTCGTGGCTGTGGCAGTTTACAGTAATTTTATTAATTATAAGTTGATTAAAATGTATACTATTACAATAAATTATATTACATTTTAAATTACAATATTGTCTTAAACGCATAAATAAATGTAAAAATATACTAATCATTTCATAGTGTAAATCAAACAAGTTTTACGCGTAGAACATATGTTGAACATATAATATTATATATTCACGTGACTATTTTCAACCCTCATTATTTAGTTGAATAATATTTAGTTTTTAACTTCACATTACAATTTATAATATTATATTACTTTATTAGCAACAATAATAAACCATAAAGCTTAAAATTAAAATAATAATAATGTTGSTATTATGTGTTTTAATATACTGGTTTTTAGTTTTTACATTACTTTATTATTAAAATTGATAAGTATTGAAGAAATTGGCTGTAAAACAGAAATTGGGGGTACAGCGTTGCTATCTTTTCTGTACCACATGTCTAACAAGGTGACATCTGAACCCACATTGACCAATTCTTCTCTCAATAATTCCAATTCTGATGAAGTAATATACGTAGGAATCGGACGATAGCCATATTTCTGTCCCAGAAATACCTATAGTAAGTAGTAAAATACATAATTATAAAAAAGGTATATAAATACTTAATATGAAAATAATATAATTAATTATTGATTAAGATGATGTCAGATATYAAGTGCACTTGCAGTACTTGCACTATTAGATTTTCCTTTTAGACCTATGCGCAATATAGAAAGCCCCCTCCACACAAAATCCTAGATCTGCCACTGGATAAGACGTGTATATGTATACAATGTATTTTCCATTTTATTTTACAAAATTGTAAACAGTTTTTAGAATATGGTTTTTAGATTTACCACAAAGTTAGGTCCCATTGATAATCGTTGACAGTTTTCAATTTCTTTCATACATAATTCAGTTGTCATGTGATCATCTGTGGCTTCATCACGAACGCCCCATCTCATATCAACCACCTAAAATTAAAAATTATAAACGGTACCAACCGTACCTGGTACGCAGATATACATCAAGGTCAAATGTATCATATTGATTTATAAGACTTTTATATCTTTCTAAATACTTATAAACATGCATATTATTACTATTAATACAATAACCACTACAGTAGATTATATATTTATATACATACAGCACACATYAAATGTACCATAATTAAGCCATATAGCAAGTTACTGTTTTAAATTTTAAAATTAATTATTATTGTTTATTAATAATATATTAATATATAAATATAATGAATAATGAATTGAAAATATGGGTATACATTTCAAGAGTAAAAACTGAAAAGGGCGATTTAAAATAAACAAAGTAAGATAGGTAACAAAAAAGCTTATATTATTATCATTACAAATTACAATATTAAAAAAGAGTTTAAGAATAAATTTRGTAGGTGCCGATCAAAGATTAACAAGTATAATATAGTACCTATAAAAATGTGTGTTATTTAGATAGTCCATTTGCGAGTTCTTGAAGATTATTTAAAATATTAAAATACAAATCATATATATAAAATATATACAATATACATAGATTAATTTATTATTAGATTATTATCTCTCTGTCTATAAATATCTTACACACGTTTTAGACWACGTGTACATCTCAAGTTTAGCAATGTAAGAGTATTTTTGAGAAATTTCTACCCCATCAGGGAATAAAAAAATAATTGAACAGTATACAGGTAGTAAGCTATTAGTTACGAAAAGCATAAAAGCATTAAAGCATACAATATTATATTATTATGCTATAATAGTTCTCCCTACCCAATTGGTGCAATTTTATTCTACAACTAGGAGGGTTGTTATTATACCATAATATATTATTCTAAGGTTTTCACCAACGTATTGTATTGTTTTTATAAACAAACATTTTTATAAAAATGTTAACTATAACATTTTAAAGACCTTCTCGTTTAATTCACTGTTAATTGACTATATTAAATACAACTGATTGTTTGCTTCTTTTCTTAAGTATACTTCACATGGCAGTTGCCTACTTACCTACCATCTATAAATTTACATCTCATAAGATTTTCACCTAACCTAACGCGTATTACAAAAAATTATCCGATTTTATAGCTTCTTATCCCACTTGTTTACTCAAATTTCGTTTTGTCTAACATTCGATTAGTTTTTTTTGGTCTAACCGTAAATAAAATAGCAATTATAATTTATAGTTATCGAAAACGCCTATTAAAAGAAATCATTTTTTCCCGATAAAATATCGTACTTATTACAATTATTATTAATATAAGTTATAAGTTGTATTAGTTGTAACCAATCATATTCGAAGTCGAAGGCCGTACTTACATGTTACATCACACACAATTACGCACGTACACCAATATGGTCAAAAATTCAAGAAAGATAGGTACACCTCAATACCCAACTTGCGGTACATTCATCAATTCATCACTTATCTCAGTTAACATATTAATATATTATTATATACTTCTTAAATAATTACAATCATAATTAAATTAAATTAAAAGWTAAMATATAATTAGATGCCTCATGCCTTTAATAATTAAGAGAAACAAGTATTAACACCTAAAAATATTTTTAAGCGTCAACCAGTAGCGTATAGTRCTACTCTGATATATGTTCAGCTTTGGCTCCTAAACTTATGTTTGTTCAAATTATGATTTTAATTTATCCGCTATAAATAGATGATTGTGTTTTCTCCAAGTCACTCGRTAGGTACTAATACTATATTTTATTTCTATTACTCAATAATACAAACAATTTTAAGAACTTGAATGTAATATTAATATATTATTATCTTAAATTCTTAAGTACCTATATCCTATATAATTAAAAATTCCATAAATAATATTCCAAATAACTGCATTACCAAAAAGAAAAAATAGAGGGTGAGAATGTTCTGTGATTCATTCTGTACATCATAGGCGCCCGCAAAAATTTTTCTAGGAGGGAGCAATTTTAGGATTTGAGGATAAATATTATAATTTTACTAGGTGTTTTAAAATAATAACCTTTTTTATTATATTCGTATACAATATATTATATTTTATTATATTACAACTTATTTTATACTTTAAATTTGTTGTATGGTATATAGTAATTTATCTTAAAACATTCAATTAAAAAGAATATTTTGAAAAAACCAGGCAAATGCCCCAGCTTTCCCCCTCCGGGCGCCTATTCTGTACATAGATACATATAGACATATAGTACATACCTATTAAATAAAAACCTATGATACAATTTAACTATTTAACGTACCCATCATTAGTATATCACTATCATAATATACTACGTACTTAATATAAAATAACTACTACGAATTTGTTTTTAAGATTTTAATATTATTGTTTAATTATTTTTGTGTATAATTTATAATATCTAATTTACCTTTGTGCAAAGAATAAACACATGGCTTATTATAATTTACTATACTTTAATAATTAATAATTTTAAAATTAAATGATATATTAAGCTTTAATTTAGAAACGAAAAAAAACATTGTTCACTAATTAGATTCACTTCATATCGTTTCAGTTTATTTTCACCTGAAATTCTAGTCCATGTTTTTCCCGGCAAAAATCCTTCAATTTTGGATAACATTGTGCCATTAATGTATTTCTCTCCATCGTAGTATCTGAAAGTGTATTTTTTCAAATGTTCAATTAATAACATAACATTTTAGTTTATAGTTTTAAGCAATACACTTGTTATCGTTATTATATTATCACGTGCCTGTAAATGTGGAGCTGGTAAAAATTCTAACAATTTTTGAACWAACTGGAGGCAAGTTCTCGAGAGATCCTGCGAAAATTAAGTCTACTGTCCGGTCGTCCATACTGTGAATTTATAGGTTGTTTATTTTAAAATCTTTCAATTTTCGTCGAGGAAATGTGGTGGTCGCATTATGTTGGAATGAAGAAACACGACTGCGTGTTACTATTCCATACGTTTTGAACTTATTCGTGAAAGCACTTTTTCATAACAGTTAAACCTTATAATATATATATATATATATATATGTATAAGTATCTATGTGGGTGTTTAATCTAAAACTGCAATATAGCAACCCTTTGTCTCGTTATTGTTTGTTTATACAGAGCGATTCAATTGTTAAATGTTGTTCGGCATAATATTATATTGATTTATAATTGCATGTTCTGTGTAGAACTCAAAGTTCAAACGCATTGAATATAGGGACGGAGGGGTAAATGCATTTTCGTGTATTATATACATACGTCATATGGTATATTATAATAMATTATTAATCCTAATAATTCGTACTTCGTTTCAAACTGATTTACAATAAAAAGCCCTTATAGACAAAGTAGAAATAAAATATGTGGACCCAACACTTTGCAGTAGGTTATATATACCTATCGATAAATTAAAACTAAAATTTACGTTTCAAATTTGAAAAAATAAAATATAATATCGCGTGATGAAATAAATAGATAATAAAGAATATAGATAGTATTATAAGAATAATAGTTTTATTATTATTTGTATACATTTATTCAAATTATTATATTTGCGAATTATGACCATAATATCATACAAAATCATTGGAGGAATAACAATAACACAATTATTGTSAATCATTGGYGAAATAAACGACCGTAATAGATAATTACTAGTAGGTAGGTAACAAAAAAAAATACATCAATATATAGTAATATTGGTAAGTACCTGCCACATGGGCAGCAGCTGCAGGTTCACATTGTGTTCAGCCACTTCAAACTCCCAATGCACATGCCACATGCACATATTTTGTACAATGCAATGCTGTCATGAGRTATAAGAAGTAAGTCAGWGAGTGGTCATGAAATCCGTGTAAGCAGCAGCAGCTGCTAAGGCAATAAGGCATAGAGTAATAAATAATTATATTACTCTATGTGCCAAGGTCTCGGAAAACGTTATCAATTTATTATAATCGCTGATATTGATATGAACTAGTGGAACTACCTAYCATTACATCCTATATTGTAGATTAAAGAAATAAAAGAATACCCTTAAAACATTTAACTGTTAAGCGTTTAGGTCAGAGCTCTCTATAAMATAAGTTATTTTTAAGTTTTGAATTTCTAAACTTCTTTATTTATGGAATGTAATTATTACAGTGACCTATTTTGTATATTGTGACAACATTGTAACGTTTGTCGAAGTAAGTACTACTGTACTAGGTATATATTAGRTATTCAAATTTCAGGTATGCAATAAGTATGAATACGTTTTAAGCGCATAGATACCAAGCGAAAACAATGATTTTAGAAGATAACCAAAATGTTGTCAAACCAAGGGTAAGATTTCAATATTTAATTATGTTATTATTTATATAATTATATTGGRATCATTAATWTATTTWATTTAAAAAGCAATTTCACTTTTATCTATACTACTTATTTAAAAATTACYTAATCAAATACCTACTTACCTATATTACTTATTAACACTTGTTTGTTATAATTTGAATTTGAAATACGTTTTTAGTTGGTTTTGACATTAAAATTATTTTAAGACATCAGACATTTCTGAATATTATCCATTARATTTTTWTATAAAAAAGTATGATTRTGTAATTATTTTTAAATACTTGAATATTAAATTCAAACTTTACACYATAGCTTACAGGAATTATGTTATTGTTTAGTCTTAAAATCTSATATAAGCAAAATACTTATCTATATGAATTTTATTTTGAAGACAATAACATTTTTATTTGAAAATTATTTAGCCATTTAGGTCAATACTTTGTGATTTATGGCTTATAAAAAGTTAAACACCTATCTATTAAAATTATTGAATATATAATATGTATACATTTTATTTTAATTTCAGAATAGTCGAGCAGCTCGGCCTAAAGTCGTTTACCAATGGACTGTACAAGATGTTCAAAAATGGTTTCGTCGTCATTGCTATGATTATTATGTCTTATATGGAGAAAAGTTCTTGCAGGTACCTAATTAGTACATACTTAAAAATTTCTTTGTTTAAGATCTAATCTAATATTTATTTTTCCTTAAGAATTAAATTGTAAGCATACCTGYTTCTAATTTTATTATTAAAAAGAGGATCATATAGTAAACTTATACATTTTCATAATTTAAAGATTTAAATTGCATAAACTGATTAATTAAACATTAAACTAATAAAAGATATTTTACTGTATTGTTTAAAAACAAATAATAATACCTAATATAACATGATTAATTACATGAATACTTAAAAAAATAACATTAACATTCAAGTGATACTTAACAAAATACTACTAATTATATTTTTATAAATATAATATATTATGGTGAATTATGATATTATCATTTATTTTCAGCATGAAATAATTGGACGCGCCTTAATAAGAATAAATGAAAATCAACTGTATCGTATGGGAATTATAAATCCAGATCATAGTCAAGACATTTGTCGTGAAATACTTAAACTACGCCTTAAAACTTATATTTTAGAGTTTAGAGATTTAGAACGTAATAATCTTTATGATTAAGATTTCAAATATCAACAAGTAATTATTCTAAATCTAATAACTGCATCATGTTTAGTATATTTTCAGTTTGTCTTGAAACTGAATCATCCATTTCCGTTCTTATATTTTGTAAAGATGAATTGCTAGTAATTTGAGTAAAATCTAAAATATTGTGTTCTGACATTTTTTCTTCTGTTTTTCTGAAATATAATTGTTTACATGTTTATATATTTATTTAATTCATTAACATTTATTTTGTGGTTACATTTAATTTAATTATATTGGAAAATATGCATAAATTTAAATAATGCAATTTTAAAACTATACTCATTAAATTCAAATTGTTGGATTAATATTTTATCCCCATTACTTTTCATTTGTATTTAATGACGTTTCTAATATTTCAAGATCCAAATCAGTGATTTCTTCACTTTCATTTCCCATCAATTGGGTAACAAAAAGATCCATCTCTTGTTTATATCCATCACGACTGGTCTGGCCATYAAATAAAGGATCTGATGTTTCTTCAGATGGTTGATTAATATTTTTATTAATATTAAATCTAAAAATGGTAAATATTATTTATTATATTATATTAATGTTTTTATTTTTTAGTGGTACATTGAAAGCCCGAGAGTAGTGATCCGAGGACTATTAGGCTTGATTGAACCTATTTCGGTTTCTACTTTGTAAAATGATATTGGATGAAATGTACTGATATCAATAAGAGTACTATTTTTATTGAACACTCTTATAACACCTGGAGCTTCACATCCTGCAATACATTATTAATATAATATCYTAAATATTTTGATAATAATTATTAACTATTTAAAATCATTTTATTATCAAATTACTATTTTAAATATAGATATATAAGAATACAAATTATTATAACTTAAATTTAAATATTACAGATAATTTTTGTTTATTTACATAAAAACTGTATGTGTAATTTCAATTGTGCATTGTTATTATAAAATAGTTTACTATTGAAATTATTTATAATTCAATAATTTTAATTAAACATAAAACCAAATTCTAGGTTCTAACTTTATTTGTAACAAATTGGGAAGCTATATAATTTGTTAAAATATTTTTCGGTAGTTTTGTACTAAATTTACTTTATATTAAATTGTTCCTGGTAAATAAAAATAATAGTTATACATTGTTATTATAATAAATAAATTATATTTTTTAAATGTTTTATTATTTATATTATATAAAAATTTTATTTTAGAATTTATAAAAGTAAGTTAAATATTTATATAAATATTTGAAAAGATAAAGATTTAAAAAAAATATAAGAAATCAATCATTTAAAATTGTTCTTGGACATAAAATATCTTTGACATGTATTGTGTAAAGCACTAACTATAATAATAGTTTGATAGGTACACATTAATACAATGATAAAAATTACAAACATCATTCTTAAATAATATTAAATGCTTCAAATACATGACGGAACGTGTTAATATAAGGTTTTTTAAATATTTTATTAATTATTATTAATAGTTAAGAGTTAATAGTGTTAATACTACAATAAAAATGACTACATGAACATAATATCTATGATCTAAATATTCTAAACTACAAAATATATACTTAACCATGTGGAATCACCCATTTTCCTACTGAAACAAATGACCCATTATACCGCTGTAGACCTTCTTTAATAAATATGGTAACTTTAACATGTATATCTTGCAAATAGTTCAACATTGCATATCGTAATCTCATTATTTCTCCATTTGTCATTTTCTCAAAAGTCTTCATTAATAACAAATTATTATACTTTTTAAATTTCAAGCATTATATTAATGTATAAAACAATTACTTGATAGAAATTGTGTTGTATGACATCTATATTTTGTTTCAATTGATAAGAACCAGCCAGATCACGGATAGAATCTAAATGATTCAATGTTACTAATAATACTTGTCTCGGACCATTACTTGAGAACATTTGCATTTTAACTGAGGTTTCGATCAAACCCATTAACTTTTCCATACTAGAATCATTTAGTCGCATAATTGAAGAATGAACTGCACAACATATACTTTTATTTAAAATATCTTTGTTGATTATAGATGTAGGTACAAACAAAAACGGACAGTTAAGTGATGCAGCAATTATGTCATTTAGAACTGCAATATAAATCATATCAATTATTAAATTTTATATTAGTGAAAATTTGACATATTTGTGCAAGTTTTTTATTTTTTATTGTATACAACACTAATAATTATATATATTATATATATATTTTAAATATCTATTATTTTGATTAATGTTTGTAATCATTGGTAAAAAGGTATTATAACAGGTACCTAATTTAGATTTATCAATTTGAATCTTTTGTGTTTTTAATCTTTCTGCCACAACATAAATCATTTCACACACTAAATTTAAATACAAAATTGAATACGTTTGTAAAGCCATATTAAATATATCAGTAAATTWAGCCAATGTAAATTTATTTGTTATTATATTTAGGTAAGTACTACGTACACAATGTCCCAACTTTAATTTGTTATTGTTCATAGGTACCATGGAGACAAAACATATAAATATATAATAGGGAGTAGGTAAATAGGTACCGGCTCTTGTAAGTTCTAAACAATTGTTATTATTATTATTGTTGTTGTAAAATTTTAACCTATAAGACGGTGATAAAGAAATTATGACCGCATAACCTGTGAACAAATATAAGTTAGGTAGTTACTAGTTCTATATAGGTACGTAACTGTAACCTTGACCCTATAATAGTATAATATTTAGTAAATATTTTTCCATAAATTGAATCATGTCAACATTTAAATCATAACGAATATCAAACGTTCAAACGTCTGGTTAWTATAACATACGTTAAAGATATTTAAAGCCGGCAGTTAACCAGTTAAGTTGATTGCTGACATTTTATCTATCAGAATTAACACATCGTAAACTCGTATATTATATCATATTATAACTCAAATAAAAGTAAGTAGGTGGTATTTTATATAAGTTATTGTAATAATATGATCTAAAATCTCAACGAGTGATAAAATATTATAGAAGCATTATGCAAAATTCGATTTTTCAAAATATGCAATATACATGTTAATATTATATTGTAATTGTTGGGCTAGCTATATATATCGTTTTTTACCATCCATCGAATAGTTAATACAAATATAAAATAATGTTGGATATTATTGTTCGTACAAGTGTGTATCGTAGTTTTAAAACGGTGCGATCACAAACGACACTAATCGAACATTTCGTCGTCATCACTTTCATTGTGGGCTGTCGTCGTAGCAGCTGTGCACTATGAAAATATGTGATAATATTATGATGGTCTTTTTCACGGTACACCGAATCCGATTACACTWAACGGCCGGTGTACCGACCAAAATAAAACAATACAACAACCGAAAATCGCAATAAAAATGATACTGTATACAGTGTATACCATCCGCGATCCAGAAACGAGGGCACGACAAGAAATTGCGGCGTTGTGCTCGAGCCATTTCCGGATTAATTGTGAGTTGCAGGACGACGACGGGAGTCGGGAAGTCAGAAACTCTGGGAAATAAATAATAATATCCTTTACTTCATATTCTGCAGCCCTCACTACTCACTAGTCAATACTCAGTAGTCACCGTTGTAGTCCTGTGTGCGGACGTCGCCAAGGCGTTCGTATTTTACCGCGATAATCGTTTTATTATCGTCAGCCATTTTGCAACAGTTGTTGGTGAAACACCTGGTGCGACATTGCCGAACCGCCGCTGATAAGAAACGCGTCGCGTTCCGCCGGGGAAATCGCCGGATGGCAATCAGTCGGATCACTCGGCACAGCCGGAACGGAACGGCCGTTGTTCGGTWCGGCAACGTGGCCACCGCTAGATTTCTCTCATATGTCCCCACCGCCCGCCCGCCCTTCCCCGCTGGGGTTCACCTCAACAAGCGGCCCGTCTCCCGCACTAACGCTGATCGGTAGCATAACGTTTGTTTACACTTTGCGTTGCATTGCATTTCGGTCGGTCCGCGTATCGTTACTCGCACGAAAAACCGTTCTGTCACCGTTGTACCGTCCGTTTCCGTCGCGTATCTACCGCAAACCGTCTATCAGACCGCCAGTACTGCGCACGGAGTCTAAACGTTTCGTTTTTAGTGCCGACCGCCATATCCGTGTCCGTCGATAATGCCATGTTAACGTCCGCTCGCTGGTTCGGTCCGATGCTCGTCGTGATGTTAGTTAACCGGACAAATGTGACGAGAAATGAAACGGCATTCGGATGAACACATGGCGTCCGCGGACACTGTCGGTGCTTACGCCACCACCGCCGCTACTCGTTCACCGCCTAGGTCCAGGCCCAACCTGGTGACCATTTCCAATGTCGTCCAGTCGAATTTCGTTACTCAGGCTATAAACAACCCGAACATACAGTTCAACACGGTGCAGCCGTTCAGCGCGCCCACAATGCCTGTCCTAGCCATCAACGATAAGGTTCCTGGTTCGCTACCTGGTGGCTCCGCCATGCCGGCGCTCCACACGATACAGGCGCAACATAATATTCAACAGATAAGGCAAAAAGTCGTGCCGCCCGCGACCATTATTCAACAGCAGCAGCAGCAACAACAACAACAGCAGCAGCAGCAGCAACAACAGCAGACTCAGTTTCAGAGGCTCAAGGTCGAAGATGCCCTGTCCTATTTGGATCAGGTGAAATATAAATTTAGTAATCAACCTCAAGTGTACAACGATTTCTTGGACATAATGAAAGAATTCAAATCACAGAGTATAGACACCCCCGGAGTGATAACACGGGTCTCAAACCTATTCAAAGGGCATCCCGAGCTCATAGTGGGTTTTAATACGTTCCTACCTCCGGGTTATAAAATAGAAATAAAAAATAACGAACTTGGCTTTCATGTTTCTGTTTCAATACCTCAAAGTCCGGCTATCACGTCTTCCCAGACAATTATACATTCGACTACTCAACATATAATGTCAAGCACTCCAATAGTTACTWCTCCACCAGTCACTTTGACTACAACACCGCCTGTAGTAATTAAACCAGCCGGACATTTACCTACCATAAACCAGGTCAATACTACTTCGGTAGTGATTAATCACCATACGACGCACAATAGTGTGACACCGACTGCGCCTACTAGCAGTGTTCACCCAACCCAAATACCTTTGTCTGTCGCTAGTTTAAGCCAAGTGGCATCTAATATTCCTCAAGTGTCGATACCTACAACTCAGGAATCAACCAACTCACAAAATCAACCAGTCGAGTTTAATCATGCCATAAATTATGTGAATAAAATAAAAAATCGTTTTCAAGGGCAACCAGAAAAGTATAAAAGATTTCTAGAAATATTACATACTTATCAAAAAGAGCAAAAAACTCATAAAGATAACGCACCAGTTGCAGAAAAAACATTAACTGAAGCTGAAGTATATCAGCAAGTTGCTAAATTATTTGAGAACCAAGATGATTTACTATTAGAATTTGGACAGTTTCTACCTGATGCTAAATCACCTGATGCCAAACAGGCGGCAGAAGCAGTCATCGTTCCCCCAAAGAAGGCAACTGTTGTTACTAGTTCGCCTCCTGTAATTCCTTTGCCACCACCACCTCCCATCAAAAAAGAACATCCAGCAGCTATTCCAATCACCAAGGAAGTTGTTAAAGAGTTGCCGAGTGTTCCAAACGTAGCTTTGAAAAGAACTTCGTCGTTTTCTTCCAGTCAGAATTTACCACCGCCTAAAAAACCAAAATCTCCGTTTCCTAGTTTGGGAGACGTATCATATCAAGAAGCATATAAATACGGTACATTAACAGATTTCGCATTTTTTGATCTCGTTAGGAAATCAATTCATAATGCTGCTGCATATGATGATTTCTTGAGATGTCTAGTTTTATACTACACTGAAATTATATCTAAATCAGAACTGCTAAATTTAGTGCAACCTTTCCTCGGAAAATACTCAGAATTATTTAGAAGATTCAAAGATTTTATTGGTACCAGTGAAAAAAGTAATAGTGCTGCCACAGTTCCAACAGAAAACAAACTTTGTGGCTTACCACATTTTTCGTTACTCGACCCTGGATCTAATCGCCAAGATAGATCTGCTGGTGATCTACCAACTGATATAGATTATAGCATCTGTAAAAGGTTAGGTGCAAGTTATTGTGCTGTACCCTCTGATTATYTAACTCCTAAATGTAGTGGTAGGACGAAAATGTGTTATGAAGTACTGAATGACACATGGGTTTCTTTCCCTACGTGGTCTGAAGAATCATCATTTGCCACTAGTCGAAAAACTCAATACGAAGAATACATGCATAGGTGTGAAGATGAAAGATTTGAACTCGATCTCGTAATGGAAGTTAATTTGGCAGCAATATATTGTTTAGAAGAACTAACGAGAAGATTTAATAGAATGACACCTGAAGAACTATCAAAATTTAAAATGGAAGACTGTAGTTTTGGTAGTGATACAACTTCAATGACAACTAATAGGCGAGCTATTAAAAGATTGTATGGTGATAAAACATCAGATATACTTGAAGGACTTCAAAAAAACCCATTAACCGCTGTTCCAATAGTTTTAAAAAGGTTAAAATCCAAAAATGAAGAGTGGAAATTAGCAAGAAACACTTTTAATGAAATATGGAAAAGTCAAAATGAAAAGTACTATCTTAAATCATTAGACCATCAAGGTGTTAATTTTAAACAAAGTGACATGAAATTCCTTAGGTCAAAATCATTATTAAATGAAATTGAAGCTTTATATGACGAGCGTAATGAACATAGTGACACTATTACAGGACCTCATATGGTGTTTTCATATGTTGATAAATCAATTATAGATGATGCTGCTAATTTGTTGATACATCATGTCAAGAGACAAGCAAGCATTAATAAAGAAGACAAACAAAAAATAAAGTCACTTATTAGAAGGTTCATTCCCGACATGTTTCATCATCCGAGACAAGAATTAAGTGACGATGAACGTGATGGTCAAAATGATTGTTCTAATAATAATTCACCTGAAACAACTAAAGCATCTGTGCGGATCTCTGAAGAAAAAGATTTACCCGAGCTTAAAATAACAGATAATGATAAATTAAAAGCACCTGAACATTCTAGTACAGAAGAATGTTACACTTTATTTTATGGCAATAATAACTGGTATTTGTTCCTCAGACTTCATCATATACTATGTGATCGGCTTACTCAAATGTATAAAAAAGCTTCACAGTTGCTTCACGAAGAATGTATTTACCAAGTTACTAGGTCAGAGACTGCTGCTTCAAAGCTTCACCTCAATCCCAATTCATCAATTCTAATAGAAGACTATTATCCTGCTCTACTCGATATGATTAAAAATGTGCTGGATGGCAACATGGATTCAAATACCTATGAAGACACGTTAAGAGAAATGTTTGGTATCCATGCATATGTAGGATTTACACTTGATAAGGTTGTTGTTTATGCGGTTCGTCAGTTGCAGCATTTAGTCTCTGATGAATACTGTCAAGAGTGCTATAATATATTTATTAAAGAAAGTAAAAAGAATGGAACAGGTGGTCTTTGCAGTACAGCATGTCAAAGAATTGCACAAGAAGCAGCATATCAACGCAGAGCTGAAGCTGCTTTGAATAACGATAACAATTGCTATAAAATATTAATATACAAATATAACTGTAAGCTAACGTTTGAGTTACTGGACACCGACACAGATGATAATCAGGACAGTGGTAAATGGACAAGTTTTGATAACGAACCACTATCTGAAACTAATGATGATAAACAAGAAGAAAACCAAAGTCCTAAAGATTAAATTTTCAGTTTACTAAAATGATCTAACTTTAAATAACCAAGTATTCTATACATTAATTATTATTTATTATTAATTTTTTTACATAAATTGTTTATACTACAATATGTAGCCTAATTTTTTCTTGCTCTGTATTGATTCCAAAGTCTCGTCTGAACTTCTACTTTAATAGGTAATTTTTTTAGTAAAATTAAACGTTTTTGTAACTATGTTGCTAATATTTTCAATTCTGTTTCAGTTTTGCCTTACATTTGTACATAATTATTCATTGACATTTGATGAGAATCAAAAAAGCCAGTTGCTACATATTTTTTTTATAAAAGTATGTATGTTTATCTATGTTTGAAAAATTGTGTTGACTTGATTTTTAATTTATTTTGGTCAGGAATAGTTTTATTCTCAATTATATTTTGTGTTTTATAGATTTTTTAGTACAATTAAAGCCATGTATTTAATTTAATACAGCAATAATTTAACATTAACAGTAAGTTGTCTTTGTTTTTCAGAAAAATATTATATAAATTTCCTTGAAGATGTTATTGGTTGAATATTCCAGGAATAACCAAGGTAATTTAATAAATATTTTTAATAAGGTATAGAGCTTGTTAATCCCCTTGTCTATTGTATAAATAGTAGTAATCGTTTATAATGATCTCAAATCACCAAATTATTTTAATTATCTTAATACAATCAATATTATACTCACATTAAAGCTTCAAACAAATCTTGTAGAATAGTTTGTCGATAAACCATCTCTTAATAAAACTTCATGTTATGTTGATTATAATCAATTAATAGTTTGAAAGAAAAATATTATTGTATAAAAAAACCAGTGTGAAAAATTTACATATTTTTAGCTTTTTCCATT